CTGTTGATATGATGTTCTATTTATTAAATGCTGAGTTAGTTTTATACCAGTTATACGAGATGCAAACCTTGCAAAATCTTAAATTTTTATCTTGTTTTATGGGGCAACCGTGGCTCAGGGGGTTGGGAAGCTCATCTGTAACCGGAAGGTTGCCCGTTCGATCCCCCTGCTCTCTCTGTCCTGGTCGTTGTGTCCTTGGGCAAGACACTTTACCCTACCACCTACTGGTGTTGGCCAGAGGGGCCAACGGTTCGATATGGCAGCCTCACTTCTGTCAGTCTGTCCGAAGGCAGCTGTGGCTACAACTGTAGCTTGCCTCCACCAGTGTGTGTGAATGTGAGAGTAAATGAATAGTGGAATTGTAAAGCACTTTGGGTGCCTAGAAAAGCGCTATATAAATGCAATCCATTATTATTATTATTATTATTATTACTTTTATTATCATCTTGTCAGTCCACTGAATATTTTCCCAAAGGTCTAGGGAATCATTATAATGTTTTTTTGGCAAATGTGACACAAGCCTTTGGGTCAGCAGTGGCTTTCACCATAGGTAAAAGCCACAGCAAGGTAAAAAGCAAAATCAAATTATCTGTGCATTTTCATGTTTCGGTTTATTGTAATGCTTGAGCACTTTAGATGTTCAGATCCACATCCATAATGCACTATTATTAATAGTGCTGATGAAGTGATTTTTTTTTTATTTAAACTATTTTCAATCAAGTTAAAAGAGATAAATGAATCATCATATTTTTGTATTCCTATTGTTTTCGGTTATGTGCCTATGCTGATAGTTGCTACGCAGCAACTCTCTATACTCTTGCCACAGGAGGCCTTAGCAGGGATAAACTAGTGAGTCCGTTCACATCAAGATAAACTGATAATTAGTCTTATGGTAGTGCTTTCGACTACTGATTAGTAATAATGAGGTAATAGTTGGGTAATAAGGTGGGAACAAACAGGTAATAATATGGAAATTTGCACATTATTACCACCTAATAACCAAGTAATATCCAAGTAACATAATTGTAGCAACAATGGTTACAGGTGAGTAATATTATACTGAAATTCATTTACTGAATTACAAAGGGACAAAACATGGAGTAATAAAGTGGAAACAAAGCTATACCGATGAAGCAACACCAATTAGAGAAAATAGTGTAATACCTTGGTAACAATATAAAACAACCTGCTAGCAATGCAAAGGATGTGTCTGTGCATTTGAATTGTCATCTGTTAGAAAGGCTTTAAATGGTAATAACCTTTAATAATAATAAGACTGTTTTGACTGATGTTTTACAATAATAGGAAAGTATTACCATATTATAATGCTTCAATTCTAATTCTTTTTAAAAAATTAATAAGGGCACCTTAAGAATTGCAATAATTACCTCGGAATATCTGTGGTACTTTCTGTGTAATACAAAGGAATCTGGGTTGCAAAATGCAAAACTGCCTGTTTCAACTTAATACCATGTTAATCACTACATAGTGCAGCCCAGATTCCTTTTATTACACATAAACTACAACAGGTATTCCTAGGTGATTATCACATTTGACGTTTCCTTTAATAAGTTATTAATGTGGTACTAATGAAAAACAGGCAGTTTTGCATTTTGCAACCCTAATTCCTACTTATATGACCAAAAAAACACCAGAGATATTTCCAGATAACATGTCTTGACATTTCCTTCAATAGGTTAATTTTTTTTACCAACTAGAAATAGGCAGTTTTGCATTTTGCAACCCTAATTCCTGCTTATTACACAGAAACCACACGTACCATCAATGTTTCCATTTAATAAGTCAGAACGATAAACACAACATTTACATTATTGCTTTTAAGCAAAGTAGGATGCTGGAGAACCAGGATTAACTGAGGCATTATAATATTATAATACTTTCTTATTATTCCTATTATTCTAAAACATCAGTCAGTACAACCTTATTCTTATGAGGTTATTACCATCTAAAGCCATTCTAATAATGGATTAAAATTCAAATGCACATACATAACCTTCATAGTGCTAGCAGGTTATCAAATTCTTATTACCGTTATGCTACTATTACTAATTGGTTTACTCTTTTGTTTACTCTTACTCAGCTGTCAAAAAATGGCAATGTGTAGCTTGTTAGCACTGCACACAGCAGGAGTGGTAAGTCTGAGAAGTGCAAACAGATTCCAAGTACTTCCAAGTTTTCCAAGTACTAGGTAATACAAAATAACTCACCTAGCTATTGTAAGGGCCCTGCCTGCATCAGGTAACCTGATTACTAATACTATGATGCCCTTTTATCCTGCTCAGGTTCCAGTGTGACTCAAGCATGTTGCTAAATGTTCATTCTCTGTCCACTTTTTTTATATTCTTTTGTTGCTGTACTGTAAACTGACTGCCTCTAAAATTCTTCGAATTGTGTCACAGTTTTGTGTTTTCAGTGTTGTACAACTAAAAGTAAAGGTCATTGTAGATCAATTTAATCAATTTAATGTAGAAGGTTAAGTTATTTTATGTTGGAAATGTTTAAGCTCGTAAGACCATGGATTTTAACTTACATACTGTTTTTGTGTACACATCCACAGTATTGCCATTAAACCTAAAACAGAAGCTGTTCTGGATGGAACAAAAAGAAAGACTCTGGACTCAGCTGGCAGGCTGCCTGATCACACAAACAATCCTCTGTCCTGTTTATAAAAATTGCCCTCATGTCAAGAATCCCCGGAATGTAAATAATGAAGGAAAACATGCAAACAAATCATCACATCTAAAACCCACTGCATATCATCAATAAAATATCTTAACGATTAATGATATTAATGTGAGGGTTTACTTGATGCAGGCATTCCTGCTTATTTTAAAACTACAGTTGATATAGTGTAGATCCCTCCCGTCCATAAACATAAAAGATCCTGATTTCATGAGCAAATCAGGAGTTGCAGAAAAATATATTTGTTCAGAAGCATCGACTCTATAAAGCTGGGCAGTCTTATACATTGTGCATAGAGCTCCATAAATGCATGTGCTTTAGATTCAGATGTCTTTTCAACTGATGTGACTTCATGAGCAAGCACTCACTAACAAGATCAAAGCACAGCACAGCCACAGAATGTATGAATCAGACCAAAGCAATCATTACTGCTCAGCCTGAAGGACTGATACGCATCATAGTAGGTTTAGACTTGCCAATCCCACTGACCTTCTTTCAGGGTTAGCGATGGGTTGACATTCCATGACAGTTTCAATATGGATAGGAGCAAGAATGCTATGTATTTTTGTGTTGTTGTTGCCCTACAAGCTCTGTTGTTTAGACTGATCTAGAGCAACTTTGACTCTGTTACATACTGTTGGGACTTGACATTGTTCCTAAACAATATTAGGACATGATAGATTGCTATCGGTGGTGCTGAAATAGTGGTAGGTCAGTCAGTACAGTGCTTGATTGGGACTGTAAAGTATTTCAGCAAGAGTCTATGGTTAAAAATTGTGCAAAATATTCAGAAAAATCTGATTTACTCTTATACAATAACACACAGGTAAAACTGAAATAAATTCTAACTGTTCTTTTGCAACAGTTGCCATTTTACCATTTTAAGGATTTGCTTTACAAATCCTAAAAGGAGAAAATTTGTTCCAAGTCTGTGAAACAACTTTACTCTTGTTTGCTTATTTTGTTTTTCTATTAATTCCATAAATGCAAAATGAGCACGTTGATGCCAGTGTGATTAAGTTTGTCTTGCTGTATTGTTGTTTAGTCAGCACTTTATCCCAGCCTTACTCCCTATTGTGTCAGCTTACACCTAATGAAGGAACAGCCAAGTTATGTTCATTATTTACCATACTGATGACCTTTTAGAAGAGGCCTCTGTGATGTCCAAACAATGGATTATGAAGAGCATTTTGTAGAAAAAGCAAGCAGTATATTTGTCAGCCAGTCTGCATTGGGATGTTGAAGATAATATCAGTGAATGGGTTTGTCTGACATGCTGATATTTTTCACGCAAAAATAGGCAAGAAACAATTTGCTTGGGATAATTTAGAAATTGTCTCATGATCTGTTAATTACACATATGTCATATGGTAATCCTTTTATTTTCGCAGCATAGTGACGTATGACTGTGAGTGGTTAAAGATCTGTGGCCATTAGTTTGGCAGACTTAGCAAATGGATGAAGTGAGTTGAAGAAAGAATTCCACCAGCTAAATCACTTAAATATAAAATTATAGTTGGTTTGGATATTACCAGTGAGATTTTTCAACTTTGTTTGGCTATTAAGATTTCATTGATACTTATGCAGCTGTCAGTTTTCCATATGGAAAGTCACTATCAGCAGAAGCCTTCTTGATGAATGTGGGTTGTTGTTTTTCAGCCTGGTTCTATTTGCCCCTTCTTAACTTTGAGCAGCCCTGCTTTAAACAGTAGTAACACTATTCCTATAACAGTGATAAAAATTAATTGCTTTGGTCATTGTCCTTATTGTTTCTGTTGCTCTCAACATTGCATTACGTAAAAGTAACACAAATCCCCGTGTCCAACTAAGGTTTGGGGACCGCTGAAGAAACAAAACGTGTGTAAATCTTACGGACTTGTCACTCAGTTCTTTTTTTTTCTGTAACCACAACTATATTTCTATTCATCTACAGCCATTAGCAAAACTTTACAACAGTTTTTGCTCGAGCCCTCCTTCCAGAAACACGCTTTCCCCATCACCTTTAGTTCTGCATCGTCACACAACAATTAAAACAATCAGTGTCTCTAGTTAACAGCTGCAGAAGATTAGCAGTGTCGTTTTTGAATGGAGTGTTTTCCACAGACTAATCCGCTCAACCCCCCGCCCGTTTTTAACGTCGGTTGCATGATAAAACAGACAGCACGTCAGTCCTTCTGCTACTCGATCCCATACCAAATATTTCATTTAGGGCAGCCTACAGGCAGTGCATAACTTTGGCGGTGGAATTCATAAACAGCAGTAGCAGAAGCGAGACACTTGTGTGAGGGGAGACTCACCTGAGAAAGACCGTCTCTCCTTGTCGGACTGTGATATTGTCCATCACTTTGTTGTAGGACTGAGAATCCCCTTGGCTGCGGACCTGCAACCCTGCAGGTACAAGAAACAAAATCCTCAGGGAGAGAAAAATTGTGCATTTGGAAAAAGCGACAAAATATCCCCGGATAGACATCGTCTTTAGCCTTCGAAGGCGCACAAACAAAAATCATACAGCGAGACAATGAGGCGGTCCTCCGCCGTGAACGGAGATTATTGTACTCCCAGTTCATTAGTCTTAATCCAAATCTTCTCGCCAGGTATTTGTGGTGTGAAGAGCAAGGAAGACAGAGGACGCTGTCTGGCTGCACTATGGATTATCACTGCCCTTTGTTTTAAACGGGGGGTGGGGATTATTCTCATTATCCCTCTGTTTGATTGTTTGTTTGTTTTTTCTTTGGGTTTTGTTTGTCTTTTTTAAAACATAAGAAATAAGACGTAATGTCCTTCAGGAATGTATTGAACGCTTCATCCTCGGTAGAGAGAATCGAAAAAGTACACAATTAAGAAAAGAGGACTTGGAATCGTATTTAAAGGGAGGAAGATGCTAAGTTTGCGAACTGCATGGGTTGCAAGTGATTTGACGATCTGTAATAAGTGCGCTTCCTGTGTCATTGTGTAGTGTCTGCAGATAGTGTTCAATGAAAAGGAAAAAAAAACACGGCTGTGCTCATCATTATGGAAAAGTTCTTTCCTGTTAAAATATTTTATGATGATCGTTTTTATACTTTATACCACTGCATAGAAAAATCAGAATCAGAATCAAGAAAAAAGATTCTGATTCTTTTTTCTTACACATTTTGGAAGCATATACAGTGCAAAAGATTTGAGCCACCCTTCATTTCTTTATATTTTGATGGGAAATTAGAACACAAGTGTAGCATTTTTTTTTCTAATCAGAGTATTACTCTTAGATCTTGAATATTTCCTTTTGAAACGAAGTGCCAGAGTACCAGTAAACTCTTTTAAAAAGCAGCCACCTGTGCCTCCTCTCTCCTCCAAATGCATTTTAGGAATTATGACATCCTGTACAATGTCAAACTGACATATTGTCTGAGTCTCAAACTAGAGAAGAGAGCAGGCACAAAATTGAGAAATGAGAAAATACCACTACATTTGGTAAAAGCTTATACATAAACATATTGACTGGCAATCAACATCCCTTTACAATTGTTTATTTGGTTTTTCCTGTTGCCATTGTGCTCATCAGTGACATCCCTGCATGTTCGTCAGTTTGTAGCGAAATCTTTACACTAAACCTTAAACATTCATATCAGCACATGTATAATAAATTCCTGAACTCAGCCAATAAAGGCTTTAATAACATATCTGACAGATGTTAAGTGGTCATTAGAAGTTTACATATTTTGTTGTTATTGTTGTTCTTGTCGTTGTTGTCATGTTATTGTTTTCATTCAATTTTCTATTCATTATGTTGTAATGTTTGTCTTAATATTTCATTTCTTAAAGGTTACCTAGTCTTGTTTCCTTCATCTTATATAGCTGGGTTCTGTAATTACAGAGGTGTTATGATTATTCTTTAGTGATACTTCTATTTTCTATAAGCAATTGTGCATGTGTATAAATTAAGACAAATAAATATTTGAATGATTACATTGCCAAAAATATTCACTTGTCTGCCTTCACACCCCTTTCAACTTGAGAAACACTGCCTACTCACATTAACTGAATTTTATTTTAATGTATTGCACACCGACCTAAACATTTCAGCACTCCTGATGGCAATGGCACCTCACACAGAGGACACACTCAAAAGTCCTGTTTCCATTTGCAGCTTTAAGATTTGCAGTTTTTGGTACAAAATCTCTGCTATTCCACAATGGAATTTAATATTTTATTAATTAATAAAAAGTTGGTACAAAGCAAAAAAAAAAAGAAAAGAAAGAAAGAAATGTATTACTAATAATTCACAACTCACATTTCACCATGCATTCCTACAGTATTTTGTTATATAAGCTTTAGACACCATTTCTTGTTCATGGCTAATTCACCAATTTACCTAAGATGTCTGGGGCAGATTCATGAATTTGTGGAGTTTGCATGTTTTCTCAATACTGCAGCCCATAAAGCGTGCCTGTCATATAAACCATTGTTTGTTACTTGCCATACCTTCCCTTTTTGAAACCATATCTCATGTCAAGATTGATGTTTAGACTTTATTATTTCCGTTTTTATTATCAATAAACATGGTTTCACATTGTCTAAAGGTGTTTGGTGTTGTTCAGTAATACCAGGAGTTCACTGAGAAAACAACACTGGATACAAAAGCATCAAGAGACTGCTTTGATTAATGGCAACCTAATAACTAATAGAGTTGTTTTTTATAACTTGGTCATATTAGATGTGTTTTCTCTTTTAAAAATATGTATGTTTGAAGATAATTTCTGGCTTCATTAGAGAATGATTATTCGGGCAAGCTCTAATCTTCTAACCTTTTCTTTCTGCAAAATAATCAATTATCTTTTGACATAACAAATGTCCTCTTTGTTTTTACTACCACTGTCTGGTATCATAATGGTGATTCATAGCCAGGGTCACTGTATTTATAGAACAGGTGCCATGCAATCTTTTTTGAAGCACTATGTTACCACAGAGAATTAAACTTGCTCATGGATGACATTGGCTTTGGTTGTTTAGGCAACAAATGAATGCAAAATGAAGTTGTTGGAACTAAATATAGCACATCTTCGCAACAAACTGCAATCTAAGAGTCTGCAACACCATTTACTGTATATTTATTGTTAGGATTAGATGTACAGGAAATAGATCATGCTGGTGCTCTCGACAGAAAGCCAAATGGTCCCCTCTGCTGCTCTGCACTGTGATCTGTCTTGATGACTTCCAGATGGCTAGCTTTATTATTTACTCATGTTACAGCTAGTGCTGTCAGCGTTAATCTCGTTAAAATTATGTTAATGCCATAACCGCATTAACGCAGCAAATCCGTTAGCAAGTTAACACAGATTGCCCCGTGCATGGGACTGCACAACGTCTAGCGTTAGCACAGTTAGCTCCTTAACGCTTTAGGGCCGTGCAGCCCCGCACACGGAGCTATCCGCATTAACTCGCTAACATAGATTTGCCCCATTATGGCATTAACATAATTTTAACGAGATTAACGCTGACAGCACTAGCTACAGCCTTATTCTAATATGGATTCAATTCATTCTTCACCTGAATACTCTATATACAATACCTCATAATTAGGGATGGGTACCGGTGTCCGGTGCCATCACAGAAACGGTAGTAACCAGACCGAAAAGCAGCGCACATTTCGGTGCTTTATTTTGGTGCTTTTTTTTCCTGAGCTGTGATACACTTCTAGCCAATAATTTTACGTTTCCGAGGATAGTAGGCGGGTCCAGGTACGTGCGTTCTTTTAGAGCAGAGCTGCAGATTAAAAATGCCCAAGGCGAAGCGGTCAAAAGTCTGGCTGTACTTCACAGCAAAATATGCAAACTCAGCAGCCTGCAACAAGTGCTTTAAGCTGATACTGTGATACTGTCAAAGGAGGTAACACCTCAAATCCGATGAAACACCTGGCGACGCATAGCGGTTTTTTTTAAAAGCCCAGAAATGCACCGTATGATAGTTTGCTGCGAGACCTCACACCGAGCGCATCTACTGTGCGTGGGTTGCCCGTTATCTGACCCGGAGTTAGCGATATCCCCCAAAAACCCCGAAGAGGAGAGTCCTGGCCCCTAGCCCTGCCAGTGTAGCAGAAATGATGACGGATGATGATGGCAACAGCAGCCATTCTTCTCTGCGTGAGTAGCTTAATGTTGTTCGTGTGTAATTTACGTTGAGTAGGCTAACCACGTTATTACATTAATGCATGTAAGGTGAACTAGCAAACCTCATCATAGCTACATGTGGCTGTCTTCTTGTTTGATGGCAGATACTCCCTTCACCCTGGCCAAAAAGGCTAAAATGACCAAAGAAAAAGTGGAAAACAGTTAAACATGAGAGGTTTTGGACAAAGTTTGTGTTTTTTCCATTGATTAAGCACTGCTTCCAGCCAAGAGTGATACCATATATGCCCCATAGCTGCAGAAAAGGCTAACATTGTTATCTTTTTACAAAAAACCAGCTGAACATGAGAGGTTTTTGGACCAATTTTGTGAAGCACCGGTTTGAGCACCGTTTGAGCACCGGCACCGTTTCAAAAGTACCGATTTTGCACCGGTATCGGATAAAACCTAAACGATACCCATCCCTACTCATAATGACAAATGACAAAACTTATTTAAAATTATTGCACATTTATTAAAAATAAAAAACAATAATAGAACATGTACATAAGTATTCATAACCTTGGACATGACACTCAAAAATGGAGCTCGGGTGCATTCTTTGTTCACATCTAGTAGCGGCTTCTACAACTTTATTGGAATCCACCTGTGGTAAATTCAACTGACTGGAAATGATTTGGCTCGGCAAGCCGGAGGAACGCGACGAGCCGGAGGAGCCCACACCGCCATCGGAGGGAGACCTCGGTGAGCCAGAGGGACTGCCACGTCCGTGAACAGCAGCCCAGCCACCAAGCACAGTGGTAACACATTTGTTTTAGTTGGTCAAAGGGCTTGCACAAACCTCAGGACAGACCTGCTCCTCTTTACATCAACGCTAAAACTGTTATGTATCTTATCTTCTGCTGTTCAATTTAAAGCTTCAACTTCCTCCACAGATTTTCTATAGGACTGAGGACTGGTCATGGTCATGCAGTAAGATCCAGTCATGACTCAACTTTGGTAAATGGACTGATTCTTATATAGCGCTTTTCTACACTGTAAACCCCAACAGTCTACCTGACTTATAAAGTTTGTGGATATAACAATTGAAATTCCTCACAAAGTTGAAACAACTTAAAACTTTTCTGTTCCGTTAACGATTCAAACAGTTATAATTGTACATGGCTTAGAAGTTAAGAGTAAATACTGCTTTCTTAATTATGATTTTTGAGTAAATGTTTTTTTTCCGAGCTCCGCATGTGTACGTTAACTACGTCATGACGTTTTCTCTCTAACCTGAACGACGTTGACAGAAAACTCTGTTCAATATGGCTGCTGACAGCACACTTATGACAATTCGAGTATGACAATTCAGATTACCGCTTATCTCATTGGTCGAGGAAAGGTCGCTTACGGAGAAAATACCGGAAGACAACAGATGACCACAACAAGAAGCATGGCCAACAGGGAAACAAACGCTGACACTGCGGTGCAAGTCTCAGACATCAGTACACCTAAAGCTGGGCAAACATTGTGCGAT